TGTTTGAACAGTTGTATATATGTTAATAGATTTGATTGTTTGGTTAAATGCAGAAGCTACAGGAATGGTTTTGTGTGGCATGACTTATCAGAAGATGACTTAATTTTACCTGCCCAGGGGAGTGAATATGTTCTCAAAGGCTCTGAACTTTTTGATGAATCTAATTCAGGTGAAAAAAATCGTTTCTTTTGCTCTGAATAATGAATAATCAGTAAAAGCTCTGTGCCTTGTCATGGAACTAGAAAATTGAAGCCGAGGAGTTGTGCTTTCAGGTCAATTTAGTCCTGTTGTGAGTATGAGGGCGCAGAATCTGAAGCAGTTGCCAGAGCCTCCATCTTCCAGAAGCCTGGACGATTCCTCGTCGTCTTCAAGTTTTAACGAGAAGGGGACTAAGCATCCTCAAGAAGACGAGCTTTCGCCTCCTGCTCTTCGTTCTGGTTCCTCGGGTGTATCGCCTGACTCGGGGAATGAGAAGAATTCTTCTTCGGATGGTTCGTTGTGTTTGACGGAATACAAAGTGTATAAGAGCGAAAGTATTGCAGATGCTTCTACACAAACTAATGAAAATGTGAGCAGGTCTAAAGCTACGGAGACCTGCAGTAGAGGTGTTTCCACTGATGATGGGTCATTAGAACCTAAATCCAGTGACAATGATCTTTGTAATGAAGCTCCATGTCCCAATGAGAGTGCCAGTATAAGCCGAAATGCTGTCACTCCGCCCACTTCCAGCAGTGCCTCCTCTCTGGGTGGAAAGACAGAAACTTTAGAGTCCCTGATAAGAGCTGATGTGAGCAAGATGAACAGTTTTAGGATCCTTGAACAAGAAAGCACCCGAATGCCTGCCAATGCAAGGCTTAAGGCCACAAATGTGCTGATGCAATTGATATCATGTGGATCGATAGCAGTCAAGGATAACAGTTACGGCATAGTCCCGACTTGCAAGCCGAAATTTGGTCAATCTAAGTTCACATCCCCATTTTTCTCCAGATCGTTCATGCTGGGAGAGCTTGACTGCTTGTCAGAAAATCCGAGACTAATGGGTCTGAGATTGGAAAGCAAAGAATATTTCAGCGGGAGCTTGGTCGAGACCAAGTTGCTTAAAGATGCAGCGGAAGGGAATACTTCACTTAAGCGTTCTTCATCCTGCAATGCCGACAGGTACATTTCCCAACACACTTTCGAAATATTGGAACAGGTTCTGTGAGTGATTGAATGCCACTGAAGGAAATGACATCATATGTTGTACTATCCATGGATTTATTAGGCATGCCATTAACGTTTAGATGTGTATGTACTCGGCGTTTGGGTTGAGTTCAACTTGTTAGCTGATCACTTGCTTGTCAGAAGCAATTTGATTAGCCAATTTATGCTGCATGATGGTTCCTGTGATGAAATCCTTGAATTCTTGGACCAAGGAAGGAACGAGTCCTGGACTGCTAGCTATATATACACATATCCATTTTGGAATCAAATGGGGAAGCAGTGGGAGCAAATCACAGCAAGTGAAAGAACCCTTCTTTCGGTTTTATGTCTCCTAAACCCGATATTTTTTCGATCTTTGCCATGCTTACATGCTAGTTTTAACGTTCATAATCTCTGTACTAACTCATCTCCAATAGATTCCCATGGATATGTTACAGAAACTCTTTGTGAATTTCAGGACTTCTGGCCAACCGAATTCAACAGAGAACAATGACAGCTCAAACCCGGGAGGAGCAAAGTGTATTCCACGCTCAATAAAAGCTTCTATAAACAAGCAATCACGAAGCGAGTCCATGAGATCTCCAGACTCTGACAAGCCGAGAGAATCCTCCGAAGGGTGCAGCAAAAGAATAACCGAGCCATCAAGAAAACCGGATTCCTTCAGAGAAGACGAAGAGAAAGTGATCAAGATCGAAGAAAGTTAAGCATCTCAAGTCATTTTTTACGTTCTTAACACCGTCTCTTATCTCGATTCAGTCGAATTAAACCCGAAAGTTCCCGTCTTTTTTCCCTCGAAACAGGCTTTCTTCGGGAGCTCGGGTTGTAATCCAATCAAAACGCCTTCAGACCCCGCCATTCTAAGTTGTTCTTGAGAGGAGCTTCAGCGCATTTCCGAGGCGGGTTTTGGGTTTTCAAATTAACGGGTAAGTTAAAAAAGATACCGCCTTTTCTTCGGTGGTCCCTTCCCCCCTTCGATTTGATGGCCCTTTCCTTTTTGTCTGTCTGGAAAGGGCTCATGAAGAGCCTAAAAGAAATCATATACTCACATTTTATTGGGCAATGTAATGTAAATTGGAAAAGGGTTTATTTGACCGACTGTCTGATTTGATGGAATTAGAATCTTAAGCTTACAATATTTTCCAACTTTGTTTAACAATCTAATCATTCCATTAATCCTCACTTTCTCACTAATCAGACATATATTAGCATCATACAAATAATGATTTTTTTAGATACACATAAAAAAGATGTTTTTTTTTGTGAGGATGCATTATTGATGAGGAATAGATAATCATTAGACATGTGGATAAAACATTTGCACTGCATTTTGCACCCCGTTGCATATATGAAAACAAAAATTCAAAAATTTTAATTAATTAATTAATTAATTAATTTTCCAAATCTTGGTTGATTAATTATGCGTTAAACCGTGGCAGAAGTGGTTGAAGAATGATGGGGAGTGAGAGGGTTCGAGTGGGCCACTAGACATTTCAGAAATGTTTCGGTCATTGTCTTTGGATTCCTTCCACTAGTTGAGCTTTTATCCCTCTTTATTCCGTTGACCTTACTCCTAATTACCAAAATTAAAATTAAAATTAAGTGCTTGGAATTTGGCTGCAAACCAAAAATGAACAAAGACAACCTTATTAATGGACTTTTGTGGAAAGTGTGAAAAAAAAAAAACATTTTCAAGATGCTAGAAATTGACGGCAACAGGAAGAATAAACCCAACATTTTTAATTTTTTTTTATTTCCTCTTTCATTATCTTGAAATAAGAAAAAGAATAAAAAAAAAGTTTATATTGTGCAAACATATCAATGGTTTTAGACTTTGTAGATAGGGTCTAATGATATGTCACAAAGTATATAATAATTTTTATTTAAATGTTGTCTGCATGTTTTCTTATTTAGTGTTACATTTCTCGAGTCAACCATCCATTGTTGTTGTCATTTTCTCTCAAAATTATTTGTTTCCATTATTCGAATGGGCATCTTTTTTTTTATTAAAAAAATAAATAAATATAACCACACTAAGGAGCCTTGCGTGCCTCTCTAACATATATTGATAATAGCTCCATAATTACACATATTTCATTTCATGATTAAGGGGTTTGTGTATGAAACTTTCGTAGACAATGTCTACGTACATACATACAATCTTGATATTTTCTAATCACAATATGGCTACAAATTGGTGAATATTTGAAATGATTATCTTAATTGAACTAATTATCTTGGTACTATTTTTTTAATTTAATTTTACATGTATATTTAGTAATTTGTTTACTGTTATATTGATCTAAAATGATTACCTCAAATTGAAATAATCACCTTGATATTAGACAATCAATTTTACATGTAACTTGAGATTGCGGATGAACAAACGTGTATCGTAAAGCTCATATCATACATGCAAATTTTATATTTATTCTCTCTACATATACGTCTAAGAGTATTGTTATAAATTTGAAATTTTCTATAACAATAATATCATCAAATCCACTTATTTTTTGTTTTTAAATTTTTATTCGTTTTATATCTTTATTTGCTAAAAAAAAGTACCGGAACAAATCCTGTATTTTTTTTTACATTGTTACATTACATGTATGTCTATTTTGTGATATTACACTTGATCCGCTATTCACGTACGGACAAACCCGAAGCGTCATGTAACATGCTACTTTAGCTATTGTTCTTTCTCAATGACGTGGATTGTCTCAAAATGATTAGACAGATTAAAAAATATGTCACTTAATATTCCGTATATACATATATATATATATATATTATATAGTTATTTTCGGCTCTTTGTTATAAACTAGATCTTCCCATAGATCACTGAGAACAGACGGCGTGAACGTTATATTATTTTCTCGAGATTCCTTTCTCACATGAAAAAGAACAAATTGAGTGTAATATATTTCACAAACTAAAATTACATGTACCCATTACAACATATAATAATCACATAGTTATATTGTCACTATTAATATGAATTCTTTTTATGCGTTAATTTAAATTTGTATCTCATTTTTCAGATGAATTATACACAAATTCTCATTAAAGTGATCTAATAGAATATACAAAATATGTTCTCACCGTGGGTTCTAACTCATGCGTGGGGAGTGACATTCATCTGGGTTTTTCCGATTCTCTGGAAGATGTAGTCGGACCAAAAATCCGGTGAATTTCTGGATTATAAAAAAAAACTCTGCTTAAAGTATGTGTCCTCCGATAAACAGGTGTCAAATACATGTAACTAATCTATGATTTCGGTCATAAAATATTTACAGACATATATATATATATATATATCACGTGGATAATCAAATAACTGATAAACCTATAAACTAATAACAATATTAAATATATATAATATTATATAATTACTTCATAAAGACAGAAAAAAAAGTAATAGATATAAGCGTTTATAAATTAATAATAAAAAAATGTGTTGAGTTCAACTCCCCCGTCTTTTTCACAACACTCATCCAAATCGGCAGACAAATAATTAGAGGCAACCGTAAATTTTTATTCATTTTTTATTAAGTTAACGTGATCATCCATGACTTAATCAAAAATCCAAATTAGCATTTTTCTTATTTTTTTATTTTAACTAGCTAATTTTAGAATTTCAATTGAAAAAATGTTTGTCATAATATTACAACATCAATTTTAAATTTAAGATAAAATATACTTTACTAGTCTTATTTTTATTAGTGTCGATACTTTGTAATGTTGAATGATTGTTTCAAGAATTATATAAAAATATACATTCTTTTAATATTTTACTAAAAAGACTAATACTTATGTTCTGAAAATTTTCAAATACAAAAACATGTATTTATTATCAATAATATATTTTAATTTCAGTAGTTAAATAATTTTAAAAATAATAAAAATTATCAAAATATTATAAGAATGATATTTTAAAACTAATAACTTTTAATCATTAAAGTATACAACCGTATTTAAATTAAAATTTTAAATTAAAGTCTAAACCAAAAGATATAGATAAAATATACGTTGTCAAGTAACAAAGAATTTAAAGTATTCGAATGCGACGCCACACTCTTACCTCTAGAATTAATTTTGCTTAAAATGGTCCACCATATCTATTAATAATTCTTAACATTTATTTAATGTTTTATATAAAAGGCAATAGTTTTGCTCAGTCGACCGAGCCCTTATTTTATTACTATATTCTTATATTACAATTGAATTTCTACTTAAAGAATATACAATAAGCTTTTTTTTTAAGACAAGTGTATTTTAATTTATTAAAAAAACATCATGGTAACTGTTAAAAAACCTTTGCATATATAAATCTCCATATGATTTCAATGTCGCAACTCGTCGAAGCTTTTTCTCCTCTACGAAGGGAAGTACCAAAAGAAACAGAGAGAAGAGGAAAGGAGGAGGAGGAGGAGCAACAATGGATGGAGGAGGAGGAGTCAACCCTCTATCGAGCATCAACGACACTGAGTTGCATGATTTTCTCGTCGACCCGAATTTCGATCAGTTCATCAATCTCATCAGCGGCGATCAATCCGTCGGCGACTCAGTTTCCGGATTCGATTTTGGTGCGATGAACTCGTGTTTCATCGATCAGAATCAGTTTGGTCCGACACCCGACGACGAGTTGTTCGACGATTTGCCCGACTTTGATTCCAACGTCGCCGATTCACTCCCCAGCTTCGACGGCGAGAGCATTAAAGCCGGCGATGATGATTACAATGACTGCGAAGATTCTTCGTCGACGACGATGAATCTGGGCGTGGGTCGCAAGACGAAGACCGACCGGTCGAGGACTTTGATCTCGGAGAGGCGTAGAAGGGGCCGGATGAAGGAGAAGCTCTATGCGTTGAGGTCTCTGGTTCCTAACATCACTAAGGTATTCATGAATCTGACAGTATTAGCGTTAGAAATCTTTGATATTGATGATAGATTAAGCATAGGATCTGCATTCCATGGATTCTAACCACAAGTTTCTGACAGAACTGATTCACGAAACTTTAGCCCATTGCATGGGCCGGACAGAGAAAGATCAATAGATTGAAGAATAGCATACTGCAAAGTGAGAATTTAGCAGTTTAGAGGGTAAATTGTGCTGAAATTAGGACGTAGAAGATGACTTGAATGATGTTAAAAAGGGATTGATATCGTGCAGATGGACAAGGCCTCCATTGTTGGAGACGCTGCGTTGTATGTGCAAGAACTGCAATCCCAAGCCAAGAAACTCAAATCCGAGATTGCTGGTCTCGAAGCTTCATTGAACGCCTCGGAGAGATACCAAGAAACCATCCCGAAGGCTCGGAAGAGTCATGGTGGTTGCGGCCATACTCTCCCTGTCTGCAAGAAAATCATCCAGGTAATAGAAGCATGGTCATTGTTCAGATGAAGTAGCCAGTTAGCCCAACTCGTCTAGAGCTCGAACCATGATCTTTTGAATGAAGGGTAAGATTACGGGTTCTGACCAGAGTTTGAGTGAAACCCCAGATAACAACTGCGTCGATGTTGTCTTGGCAATGTTGGCATCTCTCTTCAGACATGGATTGAGTTCGAGCTGCGAGACCATACACACTATTTCGATTATCCGAGCGATTGTAATGATCTCGTTCTTGTTTTTAACTTTTTATCCTTTTTGGTGGATCAGGTGGATGTTATTCAGGTGGGGGAAAAAGGGTTTTATGTGAGATTGGTAAGCAACAGAGGAAAAGGTGTTGCTCCATCTCTGTATAAATCTCTGGAATCTCTTGCAGGTTTTCATGTTCAGAACTCCAATCTCTCCTCTACCTCTGCGGACAGATATCTTCTAACATTTACCTTAGATGTAAGAAAGAATAAGAAAAACCCTTCCTTTATTTACTTTTTTGACGTAAAAAATATTTATAAAAAAAAACAAATTATGTATTTACATGGTCTGTTTCGTTGGTTGCTTGAAACAGGGGACAAGTTTTGAACAGAGCTTAAACTTGCCCAACCTGAAGCTGTGGATAACGGGATCACTTCTCAACCAAGGATTTGAATTTGTCACACCATTGTCTTCTTGAGTTCTAACTTCATATTTTATGAACGTTTTAATAAAATTTACTCTCTTTTTTACCGTTCCACGGATCTCGATTTACATCGATTAACGATTATCTGTAACCTACGATAAAAACGAAAATGTGAAAACCAAGCTATTTACACCTACTTCCAACGCAAGTGACATTCAAAAAACCGACATGAACAAAGAAACATATGCGATTCCCTCAAAATAATGATGAGATCGGGTCAGAACCGACACGAACCAAATTCAAACAGAAGCATCGATCGTTCCAGACGGAAGATTGCCCGAGAGAGAATAAACTTGCTGGCCATTTGAGACTAATGATGAAGAAGAAGGGCCTGTATTTTGGAAACAAGAATTAAGGTTGTCTCCTGAGCAATGGGAAGAGGGTATTCCACTGTTTCACTGAAGCTTTTGCAAAAAGTTCATTGCTTTTTTTTTCCTCGCATTTCGTCGTTCAAGTTTCGAGATTTTCGAATGCTGCAATGGTTTCGTTATGTTACAGAAGAAGAAGAAGAAGAAGATGCTAAAAAGAAAGAATGAAGAGGCTACATGGCACATTCTTGTTGCTGCAGTACCAAGACCGAGGCTCTCGAAGGATAATACTCAGAAGCCAAGAAATCTCCAATGAGTCCCAACTCATCAAACTCGAGCCACTCACTGAGTCCACTCGTGACAGCAGTGCCCATTCCGCTGCTTCTTCCCACTATAAACAGGTCGTAGTCGAAAGCCACCGCCTGCAGGATACTTGAAGTCTGAGTACCGTCTGACACAGTTTTGTCCACGCAAACTATGGAGTTATCCCCTTCTTCTTCTCCTCCCACATTCCTCATGAATTCCTTTAGATTCACCTTGTCGAGCATCTGAGCCCACTCGTCTCCTTGGCCAGCTCCAGTCTCCGGGATGAACCTCATCAGTGTCAGGCTCACTCTCTTGTTACGTCTTATCCGGTTTGCAAAGGCCAATGCCTCTCTGTCGTCTCTCCCGCCCACGAAAATCAAGCAGATCTTGTGTTTCAGAACAGTAAACACACATAAAAAGAAACAATCAAGTGGGGCTGAGATTATGGATTGTAACAGCAGAAAGAACAGCAATAGGAAGGAACACGGAACCGAGGAAAGTTCGTTCCTTGGGTGAGAAGTAACCGATGCAGTGTTTTTGTTAAGAATCGATATGGAATCAAAACCGTTGAGAACGAGAGTACCTGACTAAGAGATTCGACTTTGTTTTGCCAGATGGGTTTTCGGTAGACAAGGATTCCGACAGAGCAAGGAGCTCGTTTCAAGATGTTGCGGTTGAGATTCCTCATGTTGTCGTCTTCAGAAACGATGGAAGTACCGGTAACCGCCCAAGTCCGATGAAACGAAAGCAGGATTAGGTTCACACTTCTGTCAAGGGAAAGCCAACAAATGTCCTCGTGCATATCTTTGGCTGCAGAGACAGAAGTGAAGATCTGTACAGAGATCAAGTCTGAGAAAGTCTTCTGGAAGCTCTGGAAGGAGCTTATCACATTGTCTGAAAAAGACCGGCTTCCGGGTTTCGGCTTCTGCAACTGGTGGGAGATAAAGGTAGGAGTGGCTTGACCAACAAGTTCGACGAGACTAAGGATGTAGCACGACATCGGATGGCCTTCTGATGGGTAAGAAGCTTTCAGAAAGTTCATCATTGATGCTATGTTGTCTGGCTTGCTGATGGATACAAGTATTCTAAGCTCGGAGTTTGGTTTCAAGTTCAACAAGTTCCTTTTCCGGTAACAGATGAATCTCTTGGACCGATCATGGAGGAGATGTATCGCCATTGGTGTAAGCAGAGAGTTCGCGAGGATGGCAACACACGTTACCGAGAAAACCTCCCTTCTGATGATCTGTCATAATCTCGAGGAATCGAATACAGATGAGAAAGAGAACGTTTTCCGTATAACGACGCAGAATAAGTAGAAGTAGTAAAGTATGAGAAAAACATACCCCGTCCTCGAATGTGTATAACAAGTAGGCCATCTCGAAGCAGCTCTTGTTGCCCAGAACAATGGCGAGAATTGCAGAGTCTCTCAATGGCATCTTCGTCGCCAAGGCTGATAACAAGGAGCCAGCGAATTTCGCGATCGACAAGAAAAGCATTAAGCAGACAGCCTCAAAGGCAAGGCCCTTTAGTTTCTTGAAGTTGTTGAACTCAAGAAACAGCCATGTCCAATCAACCTGCAGCATCCCTATGGACCCGAAGAGCGGCAAGAAAATGCCGTCGTTTAAGCTCTCGAACCTCTGTATCATGGTGGACCCCAATGGCGGGCCATCCGGGATGGCTAAACCGAGAAGGAACGAACCGAAAGGGCCGAAGGACATGATATAGTCCCAGAAGAAGTAAGATATGTAAGACAACAAGAGGATCATATAGATGTAAACGCTCTGGACGGGCCTTCCTTCTGGTGTGCGTCTGATAACCTCGAACATTGCTTGTCTCAGAAGGTACAGAAGAAGGATGAAAAACATAATCACGAGCAGGACCTTCCAGTAAGGGACATATGAAATCTTCAAGCGAGCTAAGAGGCTTAAGAGGAACCAGACGAAATCAGTCACCATGGCCGATGACTGAGCGATCCTACCGAACTCGGTGTGGTTGATCTTGAGATCCCTGAGGAGAGTGTTGATGCCGGTGAAGGAAGTCACGCTCAGCATGTACGCGTGAATCCCGTACTCGCTTTCTGTAATGGTTGGGGTGCCGTATATGTACAGCAAAGAGGCGAAGACAATGCCTGAAACCATAGGAACTATCAGAGTTGAGAGACCGATGACAAAAGCCCTAGGTCCTGTCTTCTTGAGCATCCCGACGTCCATTGTCACACCTCTCAGGAACCAGAAGAAGACGAACCCAAATGCCCCGATGGTTCTTGCTGTATCTTCCGCCCTGTATCCGTCCGGGAAAAAGATCTCATGCACCATTGAATTGTTGTTCGAACGAGCCGCGATGCCCAGCACCATCCCAGCCTTCATCAAGATCAAGAACAGACCAAACCCTAACATATCAGATACGAGGTTATACTTTCTGAGAACAGAAAAGGGAAGAGAAATAAGACACGTGATCGATTACGAGCATCATGGAGGAGAACTTGGGGATGGGGAAGTGGAGCTTCTTGAAGAACATGTCGAAGAAACGCCATAGAAAGAACATGGAGAAGATCATGATCTCAAGGTTTGGAAGCGGATATTCCCAAACTCCCATCCCTACGGGCTTGTAGTGGATTCTCTCCCAGACACCGTACGAACTCAACCTGTACGAAAGTGCCTCGCAGTACTGTTTCCCGTCCTTGCTGTCGGCATGACCGTACCAGAACAATTCCTTCCACCATGTCTGGTTACGAAACTGATCATAGTCATTCTCCATATCGGAAGATTCCGACCCACCGCGAAGGAAGATACGACGTACAGGTTCGTGTTCGTTCGTTTCAGAAATTCATTGAAACCCTAGTTGCATGGATGTGCATACATGCATGCATGTGTGTCTGCGTGTGAATGTTTTGCAATGATTTCGTTCAACGATGCATTGAAGCTATCATGTTTGCGGTTGAAGGGTAACGGTTTGGATTTTTTTTTTTTTTTTACAACAAGTGTATGATCTATAATTAGCAAACAATGTACACATGTAACCTTCCTACACTGGTTTCAGATGTTTAATTTGACTTTTTCAGACAGAATTTTGTTTCAGTTTTTAGAGTCTTCCTTTTTTCCTTTTTTTTTTGTCAAAGTTCCTTTTTTCCTTTTGGTTATTATGGAAGAGAGTTATGCAAATTTATCCCTGAATAAAATTAAATAATAATTATTTTTTAAATACCATCTTCTTCACAGAAATTAATATTAAAGCGGATAACACTAACGAACAATTTCTTTTTTTTTTTTTTGCTGATGTAGCAAAGAAAGTAAGCGTAATTACGTATAGAGTTGGTATGCAAACAAATATATGATAAAAGCATTGTTTATTTCGAAAACAATTGGAAATTTTTTAAAAAAATATATAATAAGATCACGTTGTCTATTATATACAGAAAAACAGACAAATTAGTCCAGTGATAGCATTTGAGAAAAATTCTAGAAATTTTTGCGAAACTTTTCATTTTTTTTAAACTTAATTGCTACGTATAATTTTTAAGAAAAGAGTGCGTAAGGTTTAATTTTAGTAAATGATATATTCTAGGAATTTTTTTCGTTTTGCCCTTTTTTCTTAATTCGGTCATATGCCATTCAAAGTCGTATTTGGATCTGCCATGTTCAAAAAATTATCATAAATATAGATTTTATAAAACACACTAAAAAGGAAGAAGAGAATATACTCATAATATCCCTAATAATAAACAATGTCATGAAGGTGAAGAAACTGGTTTCTTGGGGTTCAAGTAACAAATGTAATTTATCATCTCTCCTTGATACTAGCGAGGATTCTGATTAAATCGACAGTTACAGACCGTTAAGATGTCCTCCAATGTGTCATAACTTATCGGACAAGTAACGTATGTATGTTAATTGGTAACTTAATTACATATAAACTGAATCTGCAAATTGATGCAGTTACTGGACAAAGATTAGAGCCCGACACTACTTCTAATCGTAATCTACGGCCACAAAACGGAAAAAAATCCTCGAGAAAAGGTCTTAATTCTGCATCAAATCTTCCGTTTTTACAAAATATATAAAGCCCTATGGGGTTTCTATCTATTGTCTCTGCAGTCTTGCTGTTGAACCACCAAGACAGAAGCCCTAGATGGGAAGTCCTTGGACGCTAGTAAATCTCCAATGGGTCCTAACTCATCGAACTCGGTCCATTCACTCATCCCTCTCGTGACCGGAGTGTCTCTTCCACTGCTTCTCCCGACTATGAACAGGTCGTGGTCATGAGCCATGGACCGTAGAATAATCGACATCTCGGACCCTTCCGACACCACTCTGTCGATATAGTTGACCAAATGATCGTCGCCCACGGTGGAATCATCGTTCGTTCCCATGATCGTCTTCAGATCCTCGGCATCATGCGCGGTCCCCTTGCTCTCCCAAGGGGAAGCCGTCGGGATAAACCGTATGAACGTTAGGCTTATCTCTCTGTTCATCAGCCTTATTCGGTTGGTTAACGCTAATGCTTCCCTGTCGTCTTTCCCTCCAACGAATATCAAGCAGACCTGAGCTCGAAACCCGAAGACCGATCACATTACAAGACTGAATACGAACATTTGTGTTATTGATTGTCCATTTATTAGATGGACCGGATTTAGTAAGTGTGGGTACCTTGCAACGGGAATCCATCAACTGCGGGTGCCAGATGGATTTACGGTAGACAAGGATTCCAACCGAGCAAGGGGCGCGTCTCAGGACGTTAAGATTGAGATTCCTCATGGTATCGTCATCGGACACGATCGTCGACCGGTCAATAGACCACGTCCGGTGAAAAGGGAGGAGGATTAGGGATAAGCTCTTAGCAAGGGCGAGCCAGCAGATGTCTTCGTGCATGTGCTTGGCCATGGAGAGAGAAGTGAACATGTGAAGCGACATTGAGTCGGAGAATCTCTGGTGGAACCGTTTGAAAGAGGCGATGACGTTGTCGGAACAAGACTGGCTGCCGGCCGCCGGTTTCTGGACCTGGTGGGAGATGAAGTTGGGAGTGGCTTGACCGACAAGCTCGATGAGGTGGAGGACGTAGCACGTGACTGGAGCGTGGTCTGAAGCTGGCTGAAAAGCTTCGAGGAGGTTGATCATGGAGGTTATGTGGTCGGGCTTGTGAACGCACATTAGGGTTTGCAGCTCAGAGTCGTCTCTGAGGTTCATTAAGTTCCTTCTTCTGTAACAACGGAACTTTTCAGATGGGTCGTGCAAAAGTTCTATGGCTATTGGTATAATCAGAGAGTTCACGAGAATGTTCGCTGCCATGATCGTGAAGACATTTGGATGCACAACCTGAACCCAAAAAAGAAAAAAAAATCGCAATTTTCATACGAGAAATACGGCTGAGCAAAAAAAACCCTAATATTTGTATCGACCCGACCTCAGTCGAGTATTCAAAGATTATATAAGATGAGATCGGGTTATAACATTAAGAAAACCCGAAAATCGGATTTAGAGTTAGATAATAAGGTTGAAGATCCAATATATTACACATATTCGAACGGACAATTGATATTTTTGTCTATATATTTTAGATACAAACTTTCTCTAAAAATCGTTTCATTTTCAGATAAATTCGAAGATTTAAAATATCTAGCCATAACCAACTTAAAAATATATGATGTTTATAAAAAAAATCGAAATTTCATGTTTAAACTCGAGATATTCTTGAGTATCCAAAAAATATATCGGGTACTCGACTTTTAAATACTTGACCAATTAATGAATTCGAAACCGAAAATATCTCATGAGATCCGAAACATTCAAATTCAAATTCGGATAACGAAATCCTGAGTATCCTACTGTCCACCAACATTAAAAACAATAGTAGAAACATTTTTTTGGTAGTGAAAGAGAAAAGCTCAAACCTTGAGTTCCACGGCAGTTACGAAGTAAGCGAGCTCAAAGACACCCTTGTTACTCAGTGTAAGGGCGAGAACAATGGCGTCTCTCAAAGGCATTCCGACAGCAAACGCAGTTATTACAGAGCTAAGGAACTTCGTAGCAGACAAGAGCAAGATTAGGGACACGGCCTCGTATACTCGACCCTCCATACGTCTTAAATTATCGATCTCCCCGACCAACCATGGTAGATCTACCTGCATTGTCGTGAGCGATCCAAAGAGCGGCAAGATGACACCGAGATTGAAGTTCTCGAACCTCTGCACCAGCGCAGACCCTAAGGGAGGTCCGTCCGGGATCGCCCAGCCAAGAACGAACGGTCCGGCCGGGCCGAAATGGCCGATATGGTGCCAGTAATGGAACGACAAGTAAGCGAGAACGAGAGTGGAGTAGATGTAGATATCCTTGATGGGTCGTCCTTCCGGTGTTTGTTTGATGACCCAGAACATGGCCGGTCTCACAAAGTAAAGCATGGCTGCGAAGAACACGCAAGCGGCTAGGGTTTCCATAATACCCAAAGCCTTGTCCCAAAGAATGGCGAAGAAGAAGGTGTAGACGAAGCCTATCAGGTCGGAGACCATAGCCGAAGACAGAGCGATACGACCGAACTCGGAGTGGTTGATCTTGAGATCTCTCAAGAGGGTGTCGACCCCTGTGAATGGAGATAAGCTCTGAACGAACACGATTGCTCTGTATTCAAACTCTGTCAACATCGTATCCTGTCCTCTCATCCTAATGGATGTGAACGTGCAACCTAAGAGCAACGGCACCACCGTCGTCGTAAACCCTATCAGACCAGCCTTCTTCCCCGTCTTCATAAACATGCCGACGTCCATTGTCACGCCTTTCAGAAACCAGTAGAGGAGAAACCCGAACGCCCCGAGCGTCTCGGGGATCTTAGGCTTGTAGTCGTCCGGGAAAAATATCTGGTGAATCAATGAATCTTCGCTGAGGAGACAAGCTTGGCTCAGGACTAGACCCGCCTTAACAACACAACATCTCTCATTTCAAATCAAAATATAAGATAATGTAGAAATTAATATGAAGATAGTTCCGGTTCGTATAGATAAAACTCAAATCTGATATCTAAATTTTATACGAACCGAAACTCGTTAATGGGGGGATGGGATATGTAACTTACGAGCATCATGCATGTGAATTTGGGTATTAGAAAACCTAGTTTCTTGCACAAGACGTCGAAGAATCGCCATAGCAAGAAGGCGGAGAGGATCATAATCTCGAGATTGGGAAGAGGGTATTCCCAGAAGCCGATCCCTCGAGATCTGTACGTGAATTTCTCCCACATGCCGTAAGAGTTAACCGTGGAGGGATTCGTCTGGCAGAACTGAGAGCCGTCCTCGCTCATGGCGTAGCCTCGCCATGCCAAGTCCTCCCACCATGTAACGTTGAACGTCTCCATATATATCACCAGCAAACACAAAAACCCTAATCAACAACACTCAAATGAAAACAAGAAGAAGAGACGACACTATATGTATATTAAAGAAGATTTTTTTGTGTGTTGTCGATTATCTTTGGGGATAGAAGCAGAGAGAGAGGGAGCAATAGTAACAGGTTGCGGTTTTGAGTTTGAACAAACACACTATAATTAAAAATATAGATTTAACAAACACTTAATTAAACGTGTCCAAATGCAATAATCGCAAAATAGCTGTTTTTTTTTTCCACAGCTCTATCTTAATTTCTCTTTTTATGGCAACATGATCAGTAAACTGTTCAACGGACAAGACAGGAAAATAGTTTGAACTGAACAAATCACATGAATTAAAAAAAGGTACTACAATTCCATGATATATGATTCTTCCGA